TAGTCTACATACATACCTCTTCCCATCTATATGCACATTTCACATGCATACTATACACTCACACAAACATACACGTGTGTGTCTTCTGTCGGCTGGATTGGATTTTAAAGGACCTTATGAGTATTTATTTATTTATAATGGTTTAGACCATGTTTTTTCTTTCCATCTACACATGGCTATGAAAATAATAATCAACAGCAAAACATACCAAAAGCAATGAGAAGACCGTCAAGCGGCAGAGCTGCTTGGCGTCACCCCTGCACTATCAAATACACACATAAGTATGATTGCAGAAAGAGAACCTAAATATTTCACTGTCAGAGAACATGGAGGGCTGCAATTCATTTCTATCTCCGGTGCTTTAGGACAATGACAATTTAATACAAGGCCAGTGGATATAAAAGAGATAAAAACTGAACAAACTGGGGCCAGTGTAATCAAAGATTTTTCTCCAGAGAGCCGGCTAGGGCCGGAGCTCATATGCACTTACAACAGATCAACGCTGTATTATGCCTCTCTTCCATGAATTCGCTATGAAGCAACATTCAGGGCACAGCTTATCAGCTGCACGACTTTAAAGTTCTACTGAGATAACGCAAACGCTCTCCCCTGATTTCTAAATGCTCGGCAGGTGATTTTAAAAAGTTCATTGGATATTCATTAATTGGTTTAATAGAAACCATGGCTGTGAACTGCCCCTTGTATGACAAAGTCCAGATTTTTATTTACTTTATGAAATAATATAAGCAAAACCGTCCTCAGTAGCACTTCAGAAGTAACACAAAGAAATATTTTGTTTAGTCACTAGGCTGAAACAAATGTTGGGGAATTTTTCCTAAGTGATACGGACGTGATATTGGGCATTATGCCTTCCCCAAGAACCGTCTCTTCTTTGTCTGTAGTTCTGGCACGAGTGAGGTCTTGTGAAAGTATTGTTAAATAGACTCATAGAGAAGTTACCTGCCCTTTTTTGATGAATAGCACCCTGGACCCAAAATTAATTGCAAAAGTATGGCCTGGCTAATGAGATGGTCCTTATCTTTTTCCAGCACAGGAACCACCAGTATTTTTCTGCTGGCTCAATATTTTACAAAAAATGCCTAAAGTATTATTAACTAAGTGAAAATCTGTTTGAAGGACACAAATTATCATCAATTCTAAGATCTGGAAAATTTGGAGTGAAAACTGATTTTTTTGCATGATTTGCTTCTTAAACCTTAATTTCTTGTCTTTTTTTTTTTACTTTGAAAAGAACAACAAAAATAATTTTCTACAGCTCCTCTTAGCATTGTTGTAAAGCTGAATTACAATACCATTATTTATAAGATGGCCAATATATATTATAGGTCAGATTAAATCAAAGAAATATATCAAAAGCCGTCAATTTGGAATTAAAAAAAAAAAAAGAACAATGATACCTTATTGGAGAGAAAAACACTGGAAAAATGATCATCCATGCAAGAGAATTAATGGATATCCACAAGGGTTTTGCTAATAACATGGGTTAATTACCGCTGCAACACGCTAGGCTCCGTAAATAAAGCAGCAGTGCCATAAACACATTAAAATGAGAAACCATCACTGTAAGGACCAACCAACACCATCACCCTCGCCTCTGCCCAGGCAATAGAAAGCTGTTTCCCAGCCCTCTCCGTAAAAAGAGGATTTCTAAACTTACCACCCAATGTGCAGGGTGACACATTAACACACTGACACAAAGGGCCGAGGAAACGTGTCCCCATCATTTACTCACCACTCCCAGTCAGCCTTTTTATTCCATTAACTCAGAAACACTTTCTTTGCTGACTTCCAAGGAGAAAAATTGTCACGTTACATAATACACCCTGTCTGGCTATTTCAACTACATGCGGTTTGGGGTATGTACAGTGGTTATTTAATTTTTAGAGAAACAGAATGAATCTGTTCGCCTCAGGGAGGTGATGGGTAAGATTACGAGACTCTACAGCCGGTCGTCACTTACAGCAATTTACACAGGAATCATCTGAAAACCCCACCTTGGCCGCCTACCTTTCAGGCGGCAGGTGTTTTCACCAGATTTATAGAGACGCATCAGGAAGAAAAGTAACATGAGCTCCGAGTCTGGAGTTTAAGTATTCTTTCTTAGAAAGATAAGGTGTCTGATCATAGTGCTCAAATAAGATCACATCTATAGTGGCTTAGGCAAGCTCCTACCTTTAAAAATAATAATAATAATAATTTGTATCCACTCTGATTTAGGCTTGCTGTTGCTGTTACCACATACATTTTTCCTTCTTGTCTATTTCTAATCCCATACATTTTGACATGATAGTATTACTTTTGGATAGTTGCATTTCAATTTACTTTAGCTTTTCATAAGGAGATACGAGACAGAGAAAGAAAGAAAAAAAAAATCAAAACCCTGAAACAGAAAGAGGGGACCATACAAAATAAAACTTGCATAGCTCCCAACAGGATTCTAAAAAAACCCAAATTTGTTTAATTGTCAGTGTGTGGATTTCAGTGATCAAGCTCAAATGTACTGAACTGCTCCCTCCTTGCCTTGCCTGTTTTGGAGTGTTTCAATTGCCTTTCCTTCTTCCAACAGCTGTGACAACTGTTAAAACAGTCAGTAAAATTAAGTCCGCTCTATAATCCTGTAGTCAATGTTACATTTTAATCAGAGGTTGAGAGGGATTCGTGTGATGAGCACACTCATTTAGCATGATTAGACTGACACATATGTCAAAATGAGCAGATATATTATTTTCATCTATTTATGCTATCAGTTATTACTGCTATTAAATGTGAAACAAGATTTCAAGTATTATGCTCTTTAATGTGCTGGCCCATTTCCTAAAATAAAAATTGAAAAAAAAAAACCCACACAGAGTTATAGGTTAACATTTTAGGCTCTTCTAAATAGTGGTCAATACATGGTACAAACCTTTTTTTAATAGCCTCCGAAGCAGACAGTGTCCACTATTTTCCTCTGAAACTGCATAACCGGTTTCACGTCTATGTATACACACACGTGATGGGGTTTAACCCAGTACAATTACTATGAATATTAATAGCATGTATACATTCTGTGGTTTATTAATTGAGACAGAGAGGCAGATGCGTTGCTTAGCATTAGATCTTTCTGTCTGTCCAGTGAACCACGTAACCATCAGAGCTTCATCCAGACAATAAATCCATATTTTTTTAAAGATGACTTTTAATTGAGCCAAAAAAAAAAAAAAAGAAAGCTAGTTTGAATCTTGCGCCAAAGCCAAAAAGGACATGTGCCCTGATTTCATTTCAATGCATCCGCTTTAAGAGGCTTATCTAAACTAATTATTCAAATAAAGCTATAAAAGTTAAATTCAAGGAAACTACTTTTAAAATAAGACGCCTCCAAGGGATTTTTAAAGTTTCTTTTGTTTATGTATTTCAGAGAGAAGTTCAGAACCTGGGTGAGTTTGGATCATGCGTGCTTCCTGATATGAAGACATTTTAAACTCTCTAATCCCTCAATCCCGGGTCCTTTAACCTTCAACCTACACTGGAGTGTGCAGTCTTACCTTTGTTTATTTTCCATTTTTATGTTCACGCAGTTGAAGCTTGTTTCTCCAGTATTTCGAACTGATGTAAGCACAGCCTTCCAACCTTTCAGCCCCTCCTAAGTCCATCTCTTGGCTAATGTCCCCTGTGTGAGTGTGTATTTGAGTGTGTATGTGTGTGAGCATGCATACATATATACACACACACACACTCTCACACTTACACACATGCAGCCACTTGGGCTGCAAGTCACTTTCATCTGTTACTTAATTACAAAGCAATGCAATATGCAGTCGCTAAGGACAGCTAGTGGACATCTCCATATAATGCACTGTCTCATCGTCTAGAGTTTGATATTTTCCTCCACAACCTACAGAGAGAAATGTTTGCCAAGAGCACTCTTTTCAGAATTATTATAACAGTTGGTATTAATGTAATCTGAAAGCAAAGCAATATAACTGACTCAACAGAAAGATGGACCGGTGACAGCTCCTGTGATATACTAATATTTTATCTTAACAGCGGGTTGAAATTAAGTTGATGGCCTGCTCATTTACCCAGCAATGCCTAATTTACTTCTCCTACCCTCTACCCACCTCTCCCACACCTTTACCGAACCAAATATATAGATCCACGGGCATAAAGATGCTCATCAATACAAATGAAAGTACATGTAAGAACAAAAGTACTTTACTATATTTCTCTGGACATGATACATGAAACAAATTCACAATCTCAACAGTGTTTATGCAAGGGGAAATTTAAAAAGTCACTGCTGTTTCTTTAGGGTTTTTTTCCCCTCCCTTAAATATTAATAATGTGTGAAAATCTCATGTTACTTAATGGACTGATTTGTCAGTTAAGTGCTGACTTAACGCTAACCATGCAAATAACATTATTCTAGCCCTGAAACTGCAAGGGGCTAGTTTTTTAAATTGTTCTCTGAAGGAGAATTAGTAAATGTGCAATTTTGCCTCTAACTCTGCCCAGTCAGAAATGACAGGGCGCTGAAAATATCTGTCAAACGGCAAATCCATAAGCAGCACTCAATAGTATAACTCATTTTGAATATTGTATTTTAAAACATCTTTCCTTGGGAAAATGGGTCCTAGTAAAAGATGCATTTTAACAGTTCACTAAGCATTTGTGCCAAGTGCCTATTCTTAGCACCTGAATAAGAAGTGACTGTCACACAGCTGTTTTACTGACAGTCACTGAGCTTTTGCCTCAAAGGTAACATTGTAGGCAGAGAACAATTCTCGACTTACTGAATTAGGAGATCACCCTCCACACAAAAGGCACAAGACAGACATAAACAAGCACTGTGCACACAAAACACCCAGGGCATTACCTGAATCAGTGTGCAAAGAGACATTCTGTCCACCCCCTCACCCCCAACACACACACGCACACACACGCACACACGCACGCACCCCCACGCCGAGTTTTAAAAAGGAAAGAAAAAAGGTACCTACTCTTCCTCGTAGTGCAGGGAAAAAGATTCAGGGAGGCAAAGTTCTACCGAATCCATGTGCGACCGGCAACCATTATGCGTGCACCCCAGCTATAAATCAAAGTTTCCTTGACAGAGCACAGTGCAATTAACACAAATGTTCTCCTAGTGACAAGCCTACAGGCACGGCCAGTTGGGACCAAAGCTCTCACACGCTCCTAATCAAGGACTTAAAGCCCCGATTGGAGCTTATTAATATGAAGTAGGGCTTTACATATGCAGTCCCACCGGCCCAGCCGCGCAGCCGATTGGGGGGCGTCTGCCCAATCAGGAGGAAGGCGACGGGAGGCTGCACGGAGCAACGCAGCCAGGCAGGTAGGAAGGGTGCAGACGAACCAAGGGGTGAAAACAGAGCGGGAGCGGACCAGAGAACCGAGACCAGGGAGAGAAACGCAGTCACTGGATACTGTGCTTTTGCATTCCTTTCTGTTTTTCTGTTTTTCTTTCCTTCACATTTCATTTCTTTTTTTTTTCTTTCTTTCTTTCTTTCTTTTTTTTTTTTTTCTGGGAAGCTACAAAAGAAACAGAACTAACTTAACTCTGTAAGCACTGGAGGCATTGGTTTCTCTCCTAAGATTTGTTTTGCCTCGAAAAAGAAGAACTCACGCAGACTCTCAGTTAATTTGGGGAAAGGATTCTGCGGGAAGGTAGAGAATGCTGAAGTTTATTTTGTTTTTGTTTTGTTTTGTTTTGTTTTTTTCCTCCTGCCGTTCTCTGGGTTTTAAGTCCACTGGGGGCTGCGGCTTATTTAGCGCTGTACTTTCTCTGGCATTCGTCATCGGGTCTTTTCCCTGTTGTCCTGATGGATACCGGGCATTTCCAGAATCAAAGACAGTCTTCTCAATTGTTGGGGGCAGGTGAATGGAGATCTCACCTTTGGGGAGGAATTCAGTTTCTCACAACTACAGAATAGGAAAGAGTGTCCTCGAGACAATCTGAGAGCATGCTGATTTAAATTATTTGTGTAAACATTTCTTTACCTGCTGCTGTCTCTCTACCTATAGATATATGGTACATAGCTTTTCAAAACTGCAGGACAAATTGGCTTTTACACTGTCAGGGGTGGGAGACTGAAAGCTGTAGGGTAAATAGTACCTGAAATCCATCTCAGAGCATATTGACAAAATAAAGACTGCGTTTTTTTGGAGGGTAGGGGGGTGGGGGGGTGGGGGTAGGGAGAGTAGCACACAACAGTGCCACCCAAAGTGTTCTTAGCCATATACTTATTTCAATACAAGCTTACAAACTAGAAGACATATACAAATATATACAATTTTACCTAAAATATCAGCCTTCTAATAAAATACAGTTTACATATTTGTTCCTATACATAACACACCCTGAATGCTTTAAAAAATCAGCTCAGAAATATTTTGGAAACCATCACACAGTCTGATCATCATAAGGACTAGCTCCAAACAGATAATTACAAAACTAAGAGTTCTCAATGAAAAGTGTCTTTTTAAGAAAATATAAGAGAAGGGTGTTTTTCCTCCAATAGTAGATAGCATGTTTTCAGTTTCCATATAACGAGAGTTTTCTTAGGTGCTATTTTAAAATACGGGCTTTTTTATACTACCAATGTATTTGGAATAAATACCAGCTATTTATGGCAGAGATAACTGCTACCTTATGGAGAGTGGAAGACCCCCCAATTTTGATATAATTCAGGGCTACTGCTTACCAACATTTTGTATCATAAGCCTTACATGTTATAAGTAGTATAGTCTTTGAAATTAAAATAAATTAATTCAGATATCCAGTGTGCGTTAAATTCACTAAATCAAAACTCAACTCTTTTTCTTAATCCTCTCCAATTTTCTAGGTCTTAAAAAAAAAAAAGCACGAAACACTAAAATAGAACAGCCACTTTAAAATTCAGAATATAAAAATGATGTGGTCCCCCCACCGAATAAAGCAATTTTCCTACCATGTATTTAGTCACAGCTAAGATATAGGCCTGATTCCTTTTATTTGTGGTCTAAATACAAGTTTCTAGATGGGAACTCACATAGCAAAAACTGTGCCTGAGAATGCTGCGTAAAAGCAGGTAGTAAAAGCTTAATCACTAGTAGCATTATGCTGTCTATATTGTTAAATGTGAACTCTGCAATTAAGATGTAAATTTGGTTGTGAGTAGTGAATTAAAAGAGCTTTGAGATGTAGAATATCCAAGCATCCTGCAGATACCGAGAGAGAGGAAAAAAAAAAAAAAAGATTGGCCTATTCAGTCTAAAATGAGACATGGAATCATTTTGTAATTAAAAAATAAATGAAAAGGCATTTGAAAAAGAAACATGATTTTTCTAAAATACAATAAAAGAAATATGGAAGCAAATACTGCAGGAGAAAGACAGCTTTTAAAATATCTTTGATTCAGATTACTATCTTGACTTCTGAATAAACTGAAATCCTCTGGGTAATGAATGAATGGGTCCAATTGAACATATTTTAAAAAGATATACGAAAAAAAAAGTTTTCTTATTTTATCCACTTACTTTAAAAAAATTATAAATTATTTAATGGATCAACGCATTCGTATTTTGCACCTGTGCAAAATCCTGTACTGTCGTCATTTTCTTTGCATTATCATGCTATGACAGAACCTTTATTACTCTCTCGAAATGGCTTTTTAAAGACAAGACTTGTCTTCAATTATTTACCAATGGACCTTAAGTCACCACATTTCGTAGGAGTTATCTTGTATTTCCCAGAATTGTCTTCTGCCCTTTGGGTACTTATGTGACCCATTAGGAACCATTTGATTTTGTTAGTATGTATATATATATATATATATATATATATATATATATATATACATATTAACATGTTTAGACTCATATTCATGTGTACATCTTTTTTCTGTGCTCACAGAGATCCACGGACAAGCATACATGGTGGAAACCCCACTGATCTTTCAGTAACCATATTTCATCTATGCAAGATGCAGTGTCTACTGAGCTATCTGCTTTCCGAATGACCAGAAGTGCCCTAGGTTTGCAGAGCTGTATGTTTCCCCCTTGGGATCAGTGTGTCTGTCGCCTCTACAAGTCCAGGACCTAAGATTACACCTGCTGTCTTGAATCCAGTTTAACCAATTTAAAATTACAAATGATATCTATGGCACTAAACTGGCAAGACAGCTTCCAGAATATTTTCTAAAGACATCACTTAGTCATTTCAAGAATCTCCCCTAGTCACAGCGTTTTCTCATCTTGAAGAAGGAAAGAGTGGATAATCACAGGAAATATACACAGCATGAGCAATCTTGGGCATCAACCTGTTAAGAATCCCAACTTAAAGGATTTGGGGGTTGGGGGGAGGAATGCAACAAATAGATAACAACCTAGCATAACACAGCTTGCTAACACTTCACAATCTTACAACAAGGAGTCTACCCAAAGCAGGACACGTGGGAACAAACAAAAGGACCTCTTAGAATTGTTTCACAAAGAATATTAATAAATTAGTTAATATCAGTCTATTAGGCATCAGGCCCTGGGTCCAATCATGGTGTCAATGTATTCTTCAAACAATGCAGTTACAGGTACCCAAACAACCGCATTCTCAGACCTGAACTAACTCAGGGACACCAAGCAGAAAATACACTTCATTTCCATTTGAAACAAGGAATGACAACAAGCAAAATCAAAGTGGAAACAAAAGGTAGATTCCTGGTGTCTATACCAGAAATGCTACTGTATTTTAATCAGTCATTTCCTACGACATTCCACTAATGCATTTTTCTGTTGGGAAAAAGGGATGAGAACCGTTTAGTCTTGCTATAATATCATTATTGCCTATTAACAGCTATTTCTATCTCCCACTGTCCTTTCCTGAACATTAACAGGACTAACCTGAGTTAAGATGTATATTGTTCCTGCCCCATGTTGGGAGCACATTTTGATTTTGTATTGCACAGTTGCCATTTGTTAAATATTTAAAACTCAACGAGGCATCGCAAATTTAGATTTTTTTTCCGAAGTGCCTTGTCATCTACCTTTGCGGACCTTTCCCCCAGATCATAATAAAACCTTTAAAAGGCTGTTTAACTTTTTGAACTCTCTTTCCTGCTGTCTTTCATATAGCATATGTCATGGGATATAACCAATGCTACAAAAGCAAACCAGGGCTGTTGAAACCCCTACCTTTAACACCAAAAGAAAACCCACAATGAACATCCCTGGAAAAAAAAAATGCTTAGAGGACAAGCAGGCAGCCTGAACCCCATACTCCCTTCTGCTCCCTCATGAGCTGTGTGGCCTTGAGCTGGTCACCTCGCTGATCTGTCTCTCGTTTCCTCATCTGGGCCCTGGGGTTTCTTTTATGCTGGAAACCTGCGTAACACACCTTTCCCACTGAGATCACGAGGACGTCTTTCGAAGTCAGTGTGCCTACTTTACCTCCGTATTTCCACCAAACCTCTATCAATTCATCATACCTCATTTTCTGTTGCCTTTCATTTCTAGGGCGCAGGCTTTGATATTTAAATTATTGTCTCGATTGGCAAGAAGCAATCATTTCTACTGAAAATGATCACTCTCACAGAAGAAGCACTCATAAAATCCTTTCTTTTTGACAAACCTCTTGTCCTGCAAATCCATCCCATTCCCAGATTACTGAGTCCATTAAAAAAAAAAAAAAAGCCCATTCGCTGGGGGGCAATTGCATCACCTCAGTAACACCAAACTGTTTCCCAGTGTGTTTGTGAAAGAATGTGTGTGTGTCTGTGTGTGGGGGGTGGGCGGTGGGGGGTAACAGTCAAAGGAATACAGAGAAACTAATAGAGGCAACCCAGTTTCTGCTTAATTAATTCAGGATTATTTCACTTTCATTTTGTCAAGCTAATCATATACATGGTAAAATGTCAGTAAAAATTAAATTATAAACTACAGTAGCTCCAATGGGAAACCTGACTTCAGCTAGGCTGTATTTCCAACATACTCACCACGGTAAAACACCCAATGCATTTTATAGTATCCTACAAGCTTTCTGTGATCTGCATGGCATGTATTTACAGAGCAATCGTTAACATTTTGAGATTACACATTAATAAATGAGTTGCAGTTATAGTCTTTCCTGAATGTTAAGCACCATGAGCTAAATGCAGAAAACATTCAAGGTCAGTGTCCCGTTTTAGACCTTTTCAGGCAGCTGTAATATTATGATAATCACGCTTAAAATATTCCTATAGAAAGAGTAAATTAGCCTTTTCACTTGAAAGATGATTATGATAAACAATAAACCTAAGAGAGGACAAAATCCC